CATGCGCGGGCTCACCTGGGTGCCGCACGGCGGCGTGGTGGGTACCGGCATCTTGTGGGGTGGGGACGCGTTGCGGTTCGTCGGCTGCGGGGGCGGGGGCTTCGCACTCGCCGGCTGCCGTGGCGCGGCGACGCTCGGGAGATGCTGCGACGCATCGGGGAGGGTACTGCGCCTCGACACCTCCAGCAAGCAGTTGTTTCCCACTTTGGGGCGCTCGCTAATGATTGCCACGACGGCCGTGGCGCTCTTCTGGAAGGCGTCGTTGACGCTCGGTGGCCGCACTTCGCATTTGAGGCCCTCATTCGAGCTGTTTGTCTCTTCTTGCGCCGCCGACGCGCTCGACAGTGAAAGGCACGACTGCAGGCGGGTATCTTCTGCGTCATCCGCCTCTCTGACCTCCAGCCAGGGTTGTTGCAGAAGCTGCCACGCCGCTGGCCGCTCGTTGGGATTGTTGCAAGTACACTGTCTAATAAAGTCTTTGGCGCCTTCAGAGATGTGAGGCGGCACTTGCGCCTCCACTTTGCCCTTCATGATGGCGAACATCACCGCCATGTGGTTGTCTAAATTCCAGAACGGTGGGTGGCCTGTCAGCATTTCTAACACGCAGCAGCCCACCGACCATATATCGGCCATGCAGGTGTGCCCACTGCAGGCAATCACCTCTGGTGCCATGAAATTTGGGGTGCCAGCAACGCTGTTTGTCACGAGCGTTGTCTGCAACTCTTTGCTAGTTCCGAAGTCTCCTACTTTGAGCACGTCGTCTTCTGTCAGAAACAAGTTATCGCCCTTTAAGTCACGGTGAACGATGCGTCTCTGATGGAGGTATACCAAGCCCTGGAGCAGCTGTTGGGTGTAGCGTCGCGCCACATCTTCACTAAAGGGCCCATTCGCTTTTAGCTTCTGTGCTATCGTTCCACCACCGATGTACTCCATGTAGATGTGCAGTGCACTGCAACCATCTTCTCGGCGAGCTGAGTAGTAATTGACGATGTGTTCATGATGCAACTTCCGCATCACACGTATCTCCCGCTCTAAGGCGCGTATCTGCTTCTCCACATTCCGCCCAGAGTCGGCCGCTACCAGTATCTCCTTCACGGCTAGTGGAAGGCCGGTGTCTAGGTCTACCGCGCGGAAGACGTCTCCAAAACTACCGCGGCCGATACGCTCCTCGCGCCGCACGTTGATGATCTTCTTGAGCGACTCCGACCCATCCGTGTTGGAGACACGTCGGCTCCCTAACACGTGTACCAGACAACTTTCGGGGCCCCTTGGTGGGCTCTCTGCTACCCTGACACTGCCTGGACGCGGAGGAGAGATGGCAACACTGGTAGTTGCAGCAGCAGTGACAGCAATCGACGAGGAGGGCGCGGGAGCAGGTGTGTGGCGGCTTGTGCCCACGGCACCGAGCTTCGCCTCGCCAATGCAGGTCAAGCTGCAGCTAGGTAGACTCTCCATGTCGAAGGTCTCCGTATACTCGTTCGACGAGGACGACTCCGACGAGGTCGGGGAAAGTGACGACAAGGAGCGCGCCGAGCCATCAGTCGTCAAGCGCGTCGCGGTGACCGTCGCCGTTGCACTCTTTCCCGTGTCAGGGCGGCACGACGTTGTTATGCCGCAGTCGGGCTGGTTGTGCATCCCTAGCGCGGGCAGCTTCCCGCCTGACTCGCACGTTGCACTGATCGCCTCGCTGACGAGGTCATCCACAACGTCCTCACTCATCGCCGACACGCTCGACGTGGTGGACAGTGGGCGTGGCGAGACGCCGTCCAGCTGCACAAGCTGCGTCACTGCTGGCGACATGTGGAGCGTGCGCACAATGCGGCGCGGCGTGACGATACCGCCAGACATCGGCGACAGGGCGCCGGCGACGGGTGACGCCTCGGACCGCTCTGCCTCTGCGCGGAAGGAAGTGACATGCAGCAGGACCTTCCGCCGCGGGGCGGAGTCGTTGTTTGTTCGGCTCATGCAACCAGTGGGGACAGAAACAACAATGTGCTTGGAACTGCACCGATATTCTTATTGGTGTTGTTGTTGTTGCTGTTGTTGACGATTCTTTTCCGTGTTCTTCTTTCCTCTTCTTTCTTAACCACTTCAAAATGCGAACACACACACACACACACACACAAACGTCAACACAGCCGTGACGACTTATAATGTCCACCAGCAAGCAAGGTGAAATCAGTGCAAACACACAAACAGGGAAAAACGCACTCGTAGAGAAAAACAAGAAAAAAACTTTGGCGCAAAAAAAGAAACGGTTCAAATGTAGGGGGAAACTAAAGTGTTGATATAACTTCCGATTGTGAGTTGAGTGCACGCGTTTCACCTTCCACTCTTTGAGGGTATTTTCTTATGACACCTCGAGAAGGCTGGGGAGACGCTGCGCCTCGCACAGTCTGTGATGTTGTTGCTGTCTCTGCTAGAGAAAGTCTATTGGACCTACCTACCTATTTACTCACGCGCACACACAGACGCGTCCTTATTAGCAAGTCGTAAGAGAATAAAAATGGAAGAGGGAAGTGCAGAACTGCAGCTGTATCCATGCCATTCAAAGGACTAGCAACAGCAGCAATAATACTGCTATTATCAATATGGAAAATATTCCTGGGTTGAAAGAAAAAAAAAGAAAAAGAACAAAAAAAAGTCTCAATTCGTGTGGACAAGGGAGAATCCAGTGTGTTAAGAAGCGAGGCGGCTGGCAGGCGCACACATATGTGCGGTGCCATTGCAGCTGGTGCTCTTTTTTTGTTTTTGGTTCTTTCTTTATTGGGGAGGAAGGAACGCCAAGCCATATTGGCACACGTACAGACGCATTCCCTCGTTGCGGGAATGGCCTCCTTTGACTCCAAAACAGGGAAAAACGCAACAAGTCCAAAAGGCATTTAGCGTGGTGTACTTTTTGTTGTTGTTGTTTTTGTTTCATTGAGTGTGAGGGAGATATTAAAAGCCACTGTTGTGGAACAAAACGTTTTTTCCCTTCCCAGGCCCTTGATATTGAAGAGATAGAAGGGAGGCGGAGAGACGACACGATGCATACATAACCTCATCTCCAAGTAAGCACATTTTCTTGTTCTTCCTTTTTCCTCAGCCTTCTCTGTATTTGCGTGTTGGCAGGCATGTGCATGGCGAGAATGCATGCAACTACGGCTCGTGGCGCCGCATATTTAACCAATATGATATCAAACCCATTTGTCACGCAGGCGATGTTGTCCGCCCCCTTAGAACAGAAAAAAAACAGTCAACATCTTTAGTCCTTAGCCTTTCAAAGTCCTCTACACCACGTGCACATGACCATCTGCGCAGAGGCCGCTGTCAACGAGCGTCTGCACCGTGCTGTTTGTGAAGGGAGGTGGGCCGCAGACAACAGCACACGACGCGCGCGTCAGGCACTTCAGCACACTTGGGCCGAACCGGCCCAAGTGCACCTTGTTTGCCTCGGCCACCTCCGGTGTCTCCTTCGTCCTGCTGAAGACGTAGTGCACCTGCAGCGACTTGCACGGAGCCCCGCCGTCATTTGCTGCCCGCTCGGCAGAGTAGTCCGCGACGAGCGCCGCCACCTGCTTGCGCAGCACGATATGTTCTGGGTCCTGGTAGCACCCCACCAGCGTCACCGCGGCCTTCTGCTTGCTGAGCAGGTATGCTGCCATCGCAAACAGGGGGGTCAAGCCGACGCCGCCAGCAACGAGCAGCACGTGCTTCGCATCCTCCGCTTCCTCCTGCAGATGCTTGTCTTCATCCAGCACCCAGAGGGGGATAATAGGGCCGCGGAACCGTACCTTCTGGCCGCACGTGAGCGAGTGGATGTAGACGGAGCCCGCGCCGTTCGGATATTTCTTCACCGCAAGCGTGAAGTCGGTTTCCGTCGAGACGAAGGGGGTGTAGTGGTTCTCCTTCTCGTTACCCTTGTTAAACTCCGCCGGGACCAGCACCCCCACGTGCCCGCCCGGCAGAAGCCGCAGAGGTTCGGGGCACGCAAGTCTGACGATCTTCACCTCGTCTGACTCCTCTTCGACGTCGAGCACCGTAGCTTCCTTGTAGTCTGGAGGCGTGATGGACTCTTCCTCTTCCTTGGCAGCTTCGGTGGTGAAGCGCGATTCCGCAGAGGGCAGATACCCCACGAGAAATTTGCCCACCGATTTTTTCGTCGTCTTGCTGTGCAGGCTGTTAAACACATCACCTGCGTCTGTCCCGACTCGTGAGAGAATTGGCACTGAGCCACCGGGATGCGAGGGGACGAAGTCCGTGACGTCGTATACGCCACCGTGGAGAAGCAGCAGGACCCGCTTCTCCTCCTTGATTAGGCGCTGCACTTCCGCCTCGTCCATCAACCGTGGAGGATGCAGCCCTTCCGCTTTGTTGGCAGGTACTTGGGGCTCTGCTGGCGCCCCCGCAGCTTGTGCCTTCGCACCACCTGCTTGCTTCACCTTTACCGGTGGCATCGCCGACCCGGATTCACCTTTGTCAGACGATTTCTTTGATAGCATTGAACCCATTCGATGATGCTTGCTGCGCTCAGTTTCTCACACAACCGTGATGTGCCTTCTTTGTTCTCTTTTTATTATATGAATAATATTCTGTGTAGAGAGCGGTGGCGGCAGGCACAAGAAGACGAAGTTGAAGACAAAACAAAAAAAAAGAAAAGAGACACGGAAATCCGGTAAAAAGCTCCTTTACAGCGATCCCCCAGTATACGCAGGTGTTGTCAGCATTCCTGTCACAGAGTTTGGCAGAGAGGCAATGGTAAGGTGGGGGAAAATGTGGGAGTGAGGAAGAGCGAAGAGGGAGGGGGCGAAGTGCATCAGTGAATCAAACAACGATTAGGTTTTTTTTCAGTCACGTAGTGTCAGCGATACTGGAGAAGTCTGTGTCTCATCAAGCAGGACTTAGCGGAGGTAGCCACGGAGATGCGGCGCCATTGAGCCATGAACTGATCCTAAGAATAAACGCAAGTGAAAAACAAGAGAGAGAGAGAGAGAGAAAGAGAGAAGACACCACTGGAAGCACGAGGCGTGCCAGTAACCACGCATGTGACACTGGACTCATAGACACGCACCCACGCACACCACAAAGTACTATATTCTTAAACGGAATATTTAGCAGCAGACCCTCACTTCTTACCTTTTTTTTTGGATGATATCTTGTCGAATTTCCCGTTGGACGCCGTCGTCAGATGCTTTGCCGCAGCTGTCAGATGTTTTACCTCTTCCTGTGCATGCGTAATATGTTCTGAGCGACGTTTGTTGTGTTCCTCCTTCTTCTTCTGCTTCTCCAGACGAGCCTTCTTCTCTCTACGGTCATCGAGGAACGGGTCGCCGCCCTCCTCCTTCGGCACGTAGTTGGGGCCTACCTCACGCAGCCAGTCATGTTTCTCGCGGTCCTCGCGTGCACGTTTTCCCCACTTGTCCTTCCACTCCTGCCGCTCGTCATCGAAGACGCGGTTGTTCTTCTTGCGGTTGATGGCGATACCCTTCTTGAGGGCAAACTTCTCCCACGCCGTGAGCGGCTTTGGCTTCGGTGGCGCCTTCTCGCGTGGCAGCTGCATCACCGGCTGCGGCAGCTGCACCAGCGTCGTAGAGGCGTCGAACTTTCCTCGCTTTGTTGTTGTTGGGAGTCCCCTGCACTCTCCCAGGAGCACCTGCATCGCAGACGTGGCGGACTCGTGCAAATCCTCCTCGGTACGCTGCGGCCCACTAATCAGCGCGGCATTTGTGACGCAGAGGAGCCCCAAGTCCATATTGTACTCGTTCATTGCTGTTATATGTGCGCCCCCCGTGTCAGCCTACCAGCATGCAGCAATTCAAAGAGAGAGGTAGGGGAGAAAAATAGGAAAAGAAACGAGATGTGAGCAGAGCAACTTCGCACCTCACGCAGGTTTCTTTCTTTTTTTAAAAAGGGGGGGCTTTTAATGTGTATTTTATCACCAGCAAGTATTTTTTGTCGTTCGCAAATCAGGCGTATTGAATGTTTACGCCTGAGCATCTATCGTTAAAAAACTTATGCAGTATTCTGTCCTCTGATTGAACGCAAGGGGGATTGGGCGTTTTCTCATCATTGCTTTCCCTTCTCCTTCGCCCCCAGCCATTATCTACTTTCTCCTCCTCCTCCCACTACTACGCTCCGGTTCCTCTTCTTCATACGAGGCGGTCGACAGGTACCGCGGCGCCACGCTCAGCGGTGCCCTCCTCCTTGCCGGCGCCCTCGCGCAGCATCTTCACTCGCACCTCGCCGCGCGCCCACTCCTCGGGCGCCACGAGCACCGCACGCACTGCACCGATACGGTCGGCGTAGTTAAATGCCTGCACAACTTTCTTTTTGTCAAGTATGATGTCCGCGCTGCGGCCAGCGTCGCGCAGTCGACGAAGCACCGCCAGTGCATGGGGCCGCATGGACTCATCAAAAGGAATCACGAGATCATCCACAACGTTGAGGAGCTCCGGCAGCAGCTTCTTATCCTCCAGCATCTCCACAATGACGCAGTCGCCGAAGCCGAAACCGGAGCACGCGATGGGTGTCGGGCTGCCGTACGTCGTGAGCAAATTGTCGTAGCGCCCACCTCCAAATACGGCACGAAACTTCCCTGCACGGTCAAAGCCTTCGAACACGATACCAGTGTAGTACGCCAGCCCACGCACCACGCTCGCGTCGAAGAGGACCCACTCGCCGTAGCCGTACGCCTCCACTTGGGCGAAAAAGTCTCGCAGCTCCTGCACGGCCTCATGCTGCTCGCCAATGCGCTGCGCAATCTCGTCAACAGACTTGAGGCCAAGTGTCGTTGTAATAGCATCCACCACGCCGCTCTCGAGGCCCAGCGCGGCGAGCTGCTCCACCACCTCCTCCCGCGGGAGCTTCTCCATCTTGTCAACAATAACACACACTGGGGCAAACTTGTCGGGCGTCACCCCCGCCTGTTCCACCACTGTCTGCAGGACTTTGCGTGAGTTGATCTTCACGCCAACATCCTTCGCTGAGAGGCCCAAGCTCTGCATGGCAAAGCACGCTGCACACACCAATTCCACCTCCGCCGACACCGTCTTCACACCAACAATGTCCATGTTCCACTGGTAGTGCTCACGACGGCGGCCGCGCGTAATAGCCTCGTAGCGCCAGCACTGCGGAATGGAGTACCACTTCGCCGGCAGAAGGAGCGAGCGTCCCTTGCCCAGCAGGAGTCGGGCCAGCGACGGCGTCATTTCTGGCCGCAGCGTTACGCGGTGGCCGCCCTTCGTAATGAAGTTAAACATCTGCTCGGTGATCTCCTCCCCAGCCTTGCGCACGTAGAGCTCCTCCGACTCTAGCACAGGCGCGTCGTACTCTTCGAAGCCGAACCTCTTTGCGGTGGCGTGGAAAGCGTTGAACAGGTATGAGCGGGTGCGCATCAACTCCGGTGGGAAGTCGCGGCACCCCTGCACCGGCTCCGTCTCCACCATGTTCATCTGGCTCTTTTTTTTGGACTTCTTTGCGAGCGCCCCGGTACCATCGACGGTTACAAGCGCCTCCTTTTCCGCGAGCAGCTGCTTTAGCTGCGCGATCTCCGCAAGGATAGAAGCGTTGTCGATTCCCTTCGACATACCACGGAGCACAGATCCAAGCGCACGCGTTGTTTGGTAAAAAGAACTATTTCTCTCTTTATATATATATATATAT